TCGGTGAGGGGGGAGATCTGGGGGGTGGGGGATGGTGAATACCCAGCAGGGCTTGGGGTTGAGGCTTAGTGTTAGGCTGGAGCTGGAAGTGGGGGTAGAGACTGTCTCTGGAGTGGGTGTGCGTATGGGAACGGTCACGTGGGCGGAAGTGGAAGTAGCGATGTGGTCGAGGGTGTTAGCGGAAGCAACATTGTCAGCAGGAGCGGCTGAGGCAACCATGTGGTTAATTTGCCAGGCAAATTCAGGAGAAGGTTGGGGATGGGGTTGGGGTCTAGGGTAGTTGAGGGGGTCTGTGTTTGGAGGTAAGTACGAGTGAGATTGGTGTACTTACAATCTTTGATGTCTGATAGGGCGGAGAAAAAATGTTTGTTGAGGGTGTGGATCCTGCGTAGAATGAAAAACAGTAGAGGTCCTTTGCAGATCTGGGAAAGGGAGGTTCTGAGCTGAGGTAGGACTGACTGTCATGAGAGCAGATGTCAGCACACAGCTGCGAGTGTGGAGCTGAGGATCCGCAGAGAGAACCATTTCTGGAGGCTCTGTAGATAACAGTTGTTGCAGTTTGGTCCAAACTGGGATGGTCTCCAGCAACAAAATATTGAATATTGCTCTTTTTATCTGGTCTGGTTTTATTGCTTGTAGAACATCCTTCAAATGCTTCTTAGCCAACTCACATGCTTTGGTCAGTTTCTTTCTGAAAACGGCAACGTGGACTGGTTCATAGTTTCTGAGCTTTGGTATTTGAAATTTTTCTTGAATCAATTTGAAGATCCTCTGACTTCATGTTCATATTCCAGTTCAAAAGGACTGTGAATGCTTTAGGGGTCCCTAAATGAAAATAGAAACAAAGGAACTCTGTCATCACAATCATATGGACATTCATAATAATAAGCTCCAGGTGTGACTTTCAAAGTCCAATACCATTTTTTCAAAGCACCTTCAGATAATGGGTAATAAGCAGAGATGAAAATTGTTTTATTCCCAAACTAGTCATCATTTCTTTGGGTATTTGCAACATAAAAATTGGTTTACTTTCTTGATTCAAAGAATAAGGAGATACCTCCACTTTTGATATAAATTACTCATATCCTCCAGTAAATATTTCAAAAAATAATCTCCACGTCTGTCCTGAGTCATCTTTTCTTTCTTAGTACATTCTAAAGAAAAGTGTTCTCTTTATACCAATGCCACATTTGTGTTACCTATCTCCTTTCCTGATGCCCCCTTTTCTGAATGCTGTTCAGACATTCCTATTATTGCAATCGGTCTCCCATTTTACTTCCAGCAACTGGCTTTACTATGTCCAGTCTTATTACAAGAGAAGCATGTTAACTTCTTTCTATCGCTTTTTGATTCCAGTCTTTTCCCTTTATTCCTTTGGCTTCCTTCTGTCTGTTCTCTAAAACTGATACCTCTTATGTACGTACATTTTCTAATCCTCCAACTTCCTTGTGGATTTCCATATGATCATCTCCCCACCTCGAAGTGTCTATCTGCCAGAACTGCTGCTTCTCTAACCTTTAAAACTTATTTAGATGAGCATCAAGTATTAAAGTGTTCAGGACTTCTTGTTCTGAATTCTTTCATGATCGTAATTTTCCTTACATTCTTAAAAATTTTCTTGAGCTTGAGTGATCTAAACCACTGATCCCACAGCATCTCTTTCTCCCTTGTAAATTCTACAAATGTCTGATTAGGTTTTTTTCTTGTAGTCCTAAATTTTAATTGCTAAGCTTCAAGCTCATAAGCAACGATTATCACCTTGACAGTTTTGTACTCTGCAAATTGTTTCTCTGACAAACTGACTTACGTAGTCATAGCTTTTCTATTAAAACACTCTGTAACATTAAGTGGTCAAAAGAGGTTTGGACCTTCGTTTGTCCAGATACCTACTCAAATGAGGTGAAATATCTTTTGACTCCAGTCTCTCAAATTTAGTTACTAAGCATAGATTCTTAGTTAAAATCAAAGTCTCACTGGAATCAGAATTATCCTCTGGGCTATTACACCCTCCTCTCTTTTTCACTCTAAGCTTTTCTTTCGCCAACTCAAATTGTCTAAGTTCCCTAACTCTTTTGAGTTCATTTTTAAAAATTCCATCTCTCTCAGCTTTTTATCTTCTTCAATTTCCATTTTTCTGTTTTTTCCTTTATTTCCATTATCCCCTGTTTTCTTTTTCTTCCCTTCCCATTTAAACATTCATGATTCTCTGTCTTTTCCACTAACCTCTGCTTTTCCCTGACCTCTAAAACAAGACTTTTCATTTCTAATTACATCTTATCTAATTTCAGCTATGACATTCCAATTTCAGGTTTCTTTTCTTCCAAATCTAAGTGCTAGATAATCACTTCAAGCATCTCATCCTTATGAGATAACACGGTGTAGAGCTGGATGAACACAGTAGGTCAAGCTGTGGCTTCAGAGGAGCAGGAGAGTTGATGTTTCGGGAAGAGTCCAGACCCGAAACGTCAGCGTTCCTGCTCAGCCTGCTGTGTTCATCCAGCTCTACACCGTGTTATCTCAGATCCTACAGCATGTGCAGTTCCTACTATCTCCTCATCCTTATGAGATCCTGCTTTTACTTCAATCTTCAAATGAGTGCTAATTCTCAGCTTAGCTTTAGTCAAGATTTAAAATAATCCACTGCTGCTTCTTCCACTTCTAGAAAACACTCAGCAACATTCAAAGCCATCTTCAAATACCATGCAATAAAGCTCATAGCAGTGTTTTATGTACAGATTTACCACATACCTATTTACTTTAAAACAAAACTCATAGATCCCTCTTAAATGCTGTGAATTTAGATCTCGGATCAGCTCCCAGTTGTTATGGTCCCAGCTGATATTACCACTGGGCAAGTTAGATCCAAGCTGAAATTTGGCTTGATATATAATACTTTATTTTGGTTTTATTTAACAAGGCAATCTTTCATTGAAACACAAGCACACAATGCTACAAATCTAATATCCACAAAAAAAGGGCATTTAATATGCAAAGTAAATAAGATAAAACAGAATAAATCAAGCTAGAGAACCATTTGTAAGTGTTCAAAGCATACAGTAAAAAATAGCAAACACATTACAGCACTCAAACACCAGAGAGAATTCCATTCTCTATCACATTTGTAGGTTTCATTGAACTATTTAATTCAATTCCCAGTCTTGAGTATTTGCTAGCCTCTTTGTCTTTGATTATTCACACAAGGGAGCCTAGACTTTCTCAGCTTCAAATAACCTCTTCACTGTTGTAACCAAACTTCTGGTCTGGAACTTGTACACCAAACTGCTTACACTGAGTTAACCTGCTTCTTCATTATTCAAATTATTCCCTCTACTCGTGAGGAACTTCAATTTTACATCTAACTCCACTTAGGACTTCTGTGAACAAGAAGCAAAAACCTTTCCAAGCCACAGGGTCAAAAAAAAACTGATTCTTCTAAATGAAAGCCAACCAATGCACCTTGAAATTTAGTCTGTCCACCATTAAACTATCCTACTGCAAACAAATTCTTACTATCAACACAGGTACATTCTCTTTCATATTGGTTTAAAAAATCATGTCTCCAGAAAGTCTAACAAGTTAATTGTTAAACACCCTCATACACACAAATCCAAACTCACATTCCACTTATTCAAAATCCAAACTCTAAATAAATGGCTTTTATATTTCAAGTACACACCTTACACCATAATGTGGAGAGAAAAAGAGAATTACTTTTTAAAAATTAATTAATCTGAAATTAATTAATTTGGGAAGTATAAAGCTGGCAGATATATGAACGCTCACCTTTAATTCTACAGATTGTGTCCTGAAGTTTTCGTCATCACCATGCCCTAGCCTCAGAAGTTACTCTGCATTTATTTTTACTGTAGATCGCACCAGGAAGAATCAAAAACACAATTGCCAAATAGTGCAGAATTACTATAAAAGATTAGCAATAGCAAATCTATTAAATAGGTTAGATTCCAGGTTGAGACAAATGGCTCCAGAAATTTTCAGCAAATTGAGGGAACGATAAAGTGTTTTGAAAGAAAAGCACGTGGGTGTGTCAGACTAGGTGGTGAACTCCTCATGAAACAGATTTGGCTCTGTATTCAATTCTAATTTTGAGATGACTTCATTTCAATAAAGTTTAACTAAAATGTGGATTTTCTACTGATAATTACCAATATGCAAAGTTCAATTGAATAACTTGGGCAAATAAGCTGGCAGAATGAATGTTTAAGAATTGCTTCGTGTAAATGAATTGATTTTACGTAATCAGAGGAGAAATTCACATCAAAATCTGTCAGCTTTAGGACCTTTCTACCTGGTCAAGATCCCCATGTTCTGAGGAAGTTCCGAGGACTGGACCCCAAACGTTAACTCTGAATTCTTTCCACAGATGCTGCCAGACCCGCTGAGCTTTTCCAGCAATTTCTGTATTTGTTCCCCATAGGGTGACCTAAACCTGCTGGCAGATTTGGGTAAGACAAACCAGATGGGTGAGAATTCAACTGATTTCAAAACCCATCCACTAAAGAGATTTAAACCTGGGTCCATAAAGACGGTGTAAACTCAAGTTCCCTCCACAAAATAGCCCCACGGCCCGTGTCCTAGCAAAGACCCATCGGAAAGCACCGATTTCATGAAATAGGGCTGCGGGGAAGTGGGAAACCGCAATGAGGCTGCACTGCACTCCTGGGAGTTATTTGTTCAATTGAAGCTGGTTGCATTGAAAGGTTTGCAATGAACAATGTACAGAGGACGTTCAGTGGGGCTGCAAAACAAAAGATGCGTTATCCATAGTTTGGGGACGGATCCATGAGTAGACTCCCATTAAAGGCGGGAGGGTGCCAAGAAACGCCCAACCCTCCAGGGCCTGCACTGCGCACGCGCTACCCTCGTGGGGTGGGCATGCTCCTTGCGCGAGCACCAACAACGGTTCGCCAGCGGAGAGGGGGCGCGAGGCTCGGGCGCGCGCTATTAGTTGCGCACGCGCACACACAAGATGGCGATGGATGATAGAGGGAAGAGGTCTCGCATTGCTAGCGGTTTCTTTTGAAGATTGTCTCCTCCCCATCACCCCCTCCCTCCCCCACCCGCGCCCTGCTTCTCTCGCTCTTTTAAGTCCTTCATCCTCCTCGTTCCTCCTTCTGGATGATCACAGCGTGTTTACATGGCGCTCGGACAGCTCTGTTGGCACTGCGTCTTGACTTGGATTCTAACCGTGATATTTTCGGAAGGTGAGAGAGGAGTGTTACCACCCCCCCCTCCCTTTCACAGCTTCTCTCCCTTCCATTCTGGACTTAGTTGTGGGTTGTTTGTTCGTTTAAAACATAATAATGATGATGATGATCATCATCATCATCATTTGCGTGTTGTCGGTTCGGTGACCTTCAGTGTCTGTTGCTCCCTCCTGATGGAGGGGAAGTGGCGGGTGGGGTGAAGGCAGTTGGTGGTGGTGAAGTCTACATCCCTGAGGGCTACAGCACAGACCGATCTGACTCTCTCAAACAGACTCCATGTGCTTGTGTTTGGGGTTCGGGAGGGAGGGCTGGGTGCCTGTGCGTGTGTTGCTACTGTTGTGCAAAACTGGTGGTTTTTGGAACGGCGGGGATTTTAAGTAAAGTGGGGGGAAAATCATTGACTAGATGATACAGAAAGTTTAAAAATATCTGTAACGAGTTGGAGTGAGATGCCATTGTCATAGCAATGGATATTGATGTGCGGTGAAAAATAAACGCATGTCCATGTGCTCAAATAGAATTGAACTCAGTCTGATTTCGCGTTTCCTTTCAATATCATTTATATAAGTAAAGGAGGCTGATTGTGATAGTGTGTAGAGACGTTTGCCTGGGTTTACTATGGTTTTCGGTTTTTATTTGGGATTAGTAGGGTTGCGGAATTACAGTGGAAGGAAACTATTGAGAGGCAAGCGTGTGGAAGAGATAAAATCAGAAATTGAAGTACGCCGAAAAGACACGTTGGAGAATGATTTAGCTGGTAGGAGGATTAACGAAATTAGAAACGGGTAGGAACAAGGAATTAAAGTGGATGGGCAGAATAAAAGATGCTGTTTTTGAGCATTTGTGTTTGCATTTGTCTTCCTGTAGGAATGAGGGCTTTAATCTGGATTGACGTCTCAAAAAGTTGAAAGCAGCTTCGTGAATAATTTCCCTAACTCAGATCCAGATTAGCTCTTAAATGCATTGTGAAGAGACACCGTAAAGATATATCACCCAACCACCACATGTATTTTTGTTTACAAGCAGGAGGCTACATTAGAGGGTGGGGAGGGCTTATGTATTGAACTGTTGCATCTCAATAGTGATGTTAGTAAAGCACCAGTCATGAACACAAACCTGATTCTAGAACTATGGATTGGTTACTGCACAGAAGGGGGCCATTTGGCCTGTTGTGTCTGTGCTGGCTATCTGAAGGAAAAATTAGGATAACTGTCTGACCTATTTCCTGTCGCCCTGAATTTTTCTTGTTGAGTGGATGATCTGCTTCCTTTTTGAAAGCCTCCGTCACCCTGCCACCTCCACACTCTGAGGCATTGCATTGCAGATCCTAACCTCTCACTTTATCACTATTGTGTCTTTTGCTGATTTCCTTATATCTGTGTCCTCTGAGTCTTGATCATTCTCACAGTGGGAATAGTCTGGCCTTTGAGTCTGTCTAGGCCCTTTGAGTTCCTGTCTCAAATTCCCTTTCAGTGTAAGCAGTCTGCTCTACTCTTTCTATGTAATTGATGTACTGTATCTCTGGAATCATTCTTGTGAAGCTGTCTTTACCTTCGTTAGTGTCTTTACATTTTTCCCTCAAGTGTGATGCTTGGGTCCGGTGTTTTGTGGCAGCTGAGGTCAAACCAGTTTTTTATGCAGGCTTAATGTAACAACTGTCTTGCTTTTTGTGCTTTCTGCTCCTGTAGATAAAAATCCAAAATGCTGTAAGTTTTATGAACTGCTCCGTTAGCCTGTCCTACACCTTTTAATGACTTATGCATATTCACCCAGGTCCCGGTACTCCTTTAGTATTGTACTCTTTATGTTGTCTCCCTGCATTCTTTCTAGCAAAACAAATCACTTCTCGTTTTTCTGTATTAAACTTCGTCGGCCACTTGTCTGCCCACGTTACTAACTTGTCTATGCCCTTTTGAAGATCGGTGTGATCCTCCTCATCTTTCTCAATGCTTCCAAATTTTGTAGCATTTTACAAATTTTGAAATTGTGCCGCAAGGATTGGTCACCTAATATTTATCAGGGGTTCTAACACATCCATGGGTGAACTCCATTATAAATCTTCTTCCAGCCTAAAAAGCCAAATGTTCACATCTATGTTGTTACTGTTCCTTTTATTCCATTACCTTTAATTTTGTTCATAACTTTGTATGCTACTTTATCAATGCGTTTTGGAAGTTCATATCCACCACATCAAAGCATTACCCTCATCAACCCGGTTATCTCATTAAAAACATCAAGCAAGTTAATCAAACAGGATTTGCCCTAAGCAAATTCATGCTGGCTTACTTATTGAGCATCTACCCAAGTGACTATTATTTTATCTGAAATTATTGTCTTTAAAAGCTTTACTAGTGTGATTAGACTGACTGATTTGCAGTGGCTGAGCTTATCTTTACACATTTTCTTGAGCAACAGTGTAACCTTTACAATTCTCCAGTCCCTGCCACCAGAAAAGAATTTAAGGAAAATTGCAAAATTGCAGCCAGTTGCTCTGCAATTTCCACTTTCACTTTGTCCAGTATCCTTGTGTGCATCTCATCTAGTCTTGTTGCCTAATTAGTAGTTCAAAGTACAGACAGCCTATCTAATACCTCCTTATTTATTTTAAACCTTTCAAATGTCTGAACTATCTCCTTTCACTGACATGGGCTGCAGCATCATATTAAACTATTTCACACATTGAGAGACTGGATGGAGTCAGGTACCAAAATGGTCACAAATCTGACTTGTACTGTTTCAGATATATTGTAACATTTTCTTGTGTTTGAACTATTTTCTGAAAGAGTGGACATTTTCCCGAACTGTTCAACCTTTATCTCTCTCTCTCTTCCCCCTTCCTTTAATAAATTGTTTAATCAAAGAGATAATAGGGGTAAATATATCCAATTGGCTGAGTCCTCAGTCTGTTAAATGTCAGTTTTGCTGCTGTTTGTTGGTACTTAGGACGAGTGTGGTAACTCACTTCTATGGGGCTCCAAGAAGGGGGACATAATTATGAATTCTGAAGTAGAAGCACTTGCTTTTCACTCCAGATCAGGTAGCTTCTATTATATATTGCTCTTGAAGTTCAGATTATATGGCCATTGGTCAGTCAGATCAATGCAGTTTTCTTCCTTTGTTTTCTAGAATGAATTTTTCTTGTTGTGGGTTGTCATACGCTCATCCCCTTGGGCTCTGTCTGTTGACTGCAAAGTCTTGGTTTGTTCTGACGTGCCTTAAACCTTTTCCTCTGACTGTTTAGTGATGAATATTATGTTGATCTTTTTCGTAGATTCTGAGAAGAGTATTGTCAGATATACCTTTTCATAAAGTGCCAAGCATACCCCTACAAAACTATGCTGTGCACTGGTCTGGAAAATCTGTGAAACATTTTAATCTTTTCTAAACTTTCACAAACATAATGGGATATGGTGCAATGTAAACAGAAAAAAAGTGTGAAAAATTCTGTTAAAACGTGATTATTTGTACGTCCAAAATCATTCTCGTTAAGAACAATATTTGGAGCACGTATGTGCATTTTTTTTTGTGATGTTTCAAAGAAATGTCATTGGTATCATGTTTGAGATGCATTACTCTGAAAGGCAAGGAAGATGTATGCAAAGTTTTTGTTTTAAAGAAAACATTCTAGTCGATAAATCTCAACCTACACTGATCAGGACAGATACACAATTAAAGTTTTAAAAAAATATAAAAGGCACAGTGGTTAGTGCTGCTGCCTCACAGCACCAGGGACTTGGGTTCGATTCCAGTCTAGGGTGACTGTCTGTGTGGAGTTTGTACATTCTTCTTGTGCCTACCTAGGTTTCGGCTGGGTGCTATGGTTTCCTCCCAAAGGCCAAAAAGGCTAGGTAGATTGGCCATGTTAAATTGCGCCATATTTTCACAGGAATGAGCGGGATAGGTGGATTAGCCATGTAAATATGGTGGGGTGTGAGTCTGGATGGGATGATCTTCGAAGGATCGGTGCTGACTTGATGGGCCGAATAGATTCTGTCTGCACTGCATGTAGTCTGTGGCTTTTTGAAAATATAACTATGATCAACACAATAGGAAAAAGATGGAAGAAGAAACTCAACACCATCCAGGAGAAAGCAGCCCACTCAATTGGTGCCCCATCCAATCAGTGTTTCCTCTGATTTTCGTCCTGGCTGTGCAGACCTCTGAGGCCCCTGTATGGCACTGAATTCCAGAACCAGAAGTCCATGCTGTGATTGCTGTGACTGCACTGATCACCTTGCCCACAACATTGGAATGGCTCTGTCTGTGCTCTGCCACACAGCTTAGAGGGGACATTGAATACTAAAGGTTTTGAATGCAATCTCCCACTACTGACACATAATGACAACATTGTGTAGCATCTACAAGACGCATCGCAGAAATTCACCAAGGCTGCTTGTGCTGCACCTTCTAAATTTGTGACTTCTATCATTAGAAGGTCAAGGGCAGCAAATATGTCAGAGCACCGCTATCTGCAAGTTTCATTCCAAACCATACACTGTCCAGACTTGGAACTATAGTGCCATTCACTGTCACTGGGTTAAAATACTCAAAATCCCTTCCTAACAGCACTGTGGATGTACCTAAGCCACGTGGACTGCAGTGGTTCAAGCAAGCAGCTCACAACCACATTTTCAGAGGCAGTTTGGGATAGCCAATACGTGCTGGTCCAGCCTGTGACACCTGCATCCTGTGAATACATAAAAATAAAAGAAATTGATTCATATAGAAACAGATTAACTAAACAACTTATGGTTTTTTGTTTAAAAATAATGTTTATTAAAATACGAGGGGAACTTGCTGATAACGGACAGGAGGCTTATGCAAAATACTGATCTGTGTTGTCATGTGTCAGTAATAAAGTGACGATGTAGGGTTGAGTGGGAGATACGTTGTTTGAAAATAATACACTGCTTGGATGATCAAGACCGGTCATTGACTCTGCATAGATCTCTTGGTACCAGATTATGTTGAAGCCTTTTTCCAAATATGAATAAAAG